TATATATATATATATATATATATATATATATATATATATATATATATATATATATATATATATATATATATATATATATATATATATATATATATATATATATATATATATATATATATATATATATATATATATATATATATATAACTGAATACCAAACTAACGGTTCGGTAATCGGCAGGTACGAATTTTCGTTTGGTTTGATTCGATCGATTTACCGACCGAATAAAAACCTACATAAATTTGGCATCGTAAGGAGAAATGTGTAAGATAATATATAGTTGCGAGGGTGATAGTAATCTGCAAACAAGAGGAATTTTTTTTGTAATTATACCTTACATTAAGTCGCAATTTACCCTATATAGTATATATTAATGTAGTGGCCCCGTAGTTTTTATTAAAAAAGTGGAAATAATATCGTGGGCCCATATGAAATGAAGCCCATGCTAAAAATCTCTATAAAATTGCCTCTACAAGCCCACAAAAGGGTACTTTCTATCTGCAGCACACATTTCAAGGTCAGTTGCTACGTGGCACGATCTTAACGGCTGATTTGATTACCGCCACCACCAGCTCGGATGAACTCCACGGCTTGGATAAGGAACTTTATTTATTATGGTCAATTATTTTTATTCCAACCTTTTCAATTATTATTTAACTTAAGCATTTTCTATTTCAATATATGTTTAAAGTGTCCATAATTCGTTAAGATTTTGTGAAAAGAGAATAACAAAATTATTTAGTAAATACTTAATTTAATTCATTGAATAACATTTAGGGAATCTTCAATTTCCAATGGGAATAGTGAAAGAAAACAATGCTTTGTATTCAATTAAGAAATTGAATTTTCAACTAGAATTTGTCAAGAAAAAAAATATATAATTTTTAATTTGACATTCAAATTATACAAAATTGTTTTGTGTTCTATATGAACATAAGCAAAATAAGTAAAATGCCTAGGGCTTTACACAAATGGAGGCAAGCAAACCGAATGTCAAACTTATCTGGATTTTTATCGATCTATAAAAGTTGTAGTTAAAACTTATTTGATAAGCAGTTTCGTAGAGCTTGAACGAACTTTAATCTAATTGAACACGAATAGCATAATTTTTTCAAAAAAATAATCAAACTCAAGCTTAAGCTAACTTCATACCTTATCAAACGAAAATATGCATTCCAACTCGATTTTTTATGTTAGAAAATCGAACTCAAAAAAACTTTTAACGACCAAACATGAACCGATCAGCGATAGCTTAGTTTAATTTTTCAGCGCTACTCATTGCGTCAAACATAGTAAATCAAATATGAAAAAACAAATTAAAATAGGAAAACAAAAACAAAACAAAATAATTCTTTTGAAATATCTAGTCCATATATTAAGTTATTCTTTGAAATTTAATGGTATACAACATTTTTACGTATAGAAGTTGTCGAACACAAAAATAAAATAAAAATAAAAAAATAAAATTAATAAATCTTGTATTTATTCACGTAGCACTAAATAACACAAGACCTAAGCACCACTAAAAAAGAGTGAATATAAAATTAATTTTGTCAGTCAAATTATTTATGAGGATAATATTTAATATTTAATTATTAAACTGTAACTAGAAATTCGAGCCAGAGAAATAAAATAAAAATATTATTATTTATGAGGATAATATTTATTATTATAAATTGTGATATTCTTTTTTTCTTTTATTTATAAACTCTCAAATACTGATCTCCACACGCCCATACTCGGTGACAGAAAAACTCAATTCAGAAAAAAAAAAAAAAAATCTCCAATTTCTCGAAATGGATCCATACAAGGTACGTTTTTTTTTTTTTGTTTTTCCGGTGATCGATTTGTAGTAATCTTCGTCTTGTTCAAATTGATTGATTCAATTTTCTTCACTTAATTTGTAGTAATTTTCGTCTGTGTATGTATATTGTAATTTGTAATCAATTTTTGAATGAATTTTTTTAATTTTTTTGTATGAGTAATCAATCGCTGTGTGTGTGTGTGTGTTTATATTGTAATTTTATTCACTTAATTTGTGGTAATTTTCGTCTTTGTATGTATATTGTAAATTTGTAATCAATTTTTGAATGATTTTTTTTTTTCAATTTTTTTGAATGAGCAATCAATCGCTGTGTGTGTGTTTGTGTGTGTGTGTGTGTGTGTGATTTGGGGGAAAATTTGACGAATGAATGTTTGATTATGGTGCAGTACCGTCCCTCAAGTGCGTTCAATTCACCTTTTATGACCACAAATTCTGGAGCTCCGGTTTGGAACAATAACAACTCTTTGACTGTTGGAACCAGAGGTAATTTCTCATTCTACATTTTGGTTTTTTTTTTTGTTTTTATAATTATTTTTGATGATCCATGATATATGTTTGTAATCAATGCGTTAGTTTTTCCGTTTAGTTTGGTTAATTTAAAAAAATTGGGTTATGGCCAATTGAATTGTTGCTTTCCTTCATCTGTTTGTGTTGTGTTGGTGTTTATGACGGTGATTTTTCGTTTACTCAGTGTCGTATTCTTTGAGTTTTTTCCGTATAGTTTGGTTAATTGCAACATTTGAGTGATGGGTAATTGAATTGTTACTTTCCTTCATTTGTTTGTGTTGTATTTGTGGTTGTGATGGTGATTTTTCGATTTACGCGTTTCGTATTCTTTCAGAGTTTTTCCTCGATAATATTATGTGGCAGTCGTAATTATTCGCAAATGCCTGGTGATTATTAGCTTTCGGTTTATGATGGTCTGATCTTTTACATGATTATATTCACACCGTATAACTTCTGATGAATGTGTTGCTGATTTTTATCCTTTAGATTTTCTCGATTATAAGATGATTTCTGTGATGGGGTTATAGCTGAATATGCGTAACGGAATAAACACAAAGTATATGTATACAATATACGTTGTTTTTTTCAGAATTCTGTGCTATATTATACAAATCTGATGCAAAAATCGAAACTTGTATTGGACAGGTCCAATCCTCCTGGAAGACTATCATTTGGTGGAGAAACTTGCTAATTTCGACCGCGAGAGGATTCCAGAACGTGTTGTACATGCCAGAGGTGCAAGCGCAAAGGGCTTCTTTGAGGTGACTCACGATATTTCGAACCTTACTTGTGCCGATTTCCTTCGAGGGCCAGGTGTTCAAACGCCAGTCATTGTTCGATTCTCCACTGTTATTCACGAGCGTGGTAGCCCTGAAAGTATCAGGGATCCCAGAGGATTTGCAGTGAAATTTTACACAAGAGAGGTAACAAAAAAACAAATTGGTTTTCCATTTTATTTCTCGTCAAACACTAAGTTAAATATGTAGTAAGATGTTCGTTCACGAAGGGATGATCATTCTAGAAAACCATCTGCCAGCATCTGTTTCGTGTCTATGAAATTGAACATCTTTCATATGATTCATTGAGTGAAAATTAGTATCTTGTCACTATAAAATTTATAATAGTGGAACTCTTATATGTTTGGTTCTCTTTCGAGACCATATTTCCATTTAATTTTGGGGAAATATATTTTGAGAAAAGAATTTGAAAATAAAACTAATGTTTCTTTGTATTTTGAGACGATATAAGTTACAATGTAGCAGTCAAATCATGTCTAAAATGCTGCAAAAAAGCATTTTGGAAGAAGAATTTGAAAAATTAAATAATGTTTATTTGAAATTTAGTGAAAACATTTGTTATTGTTGCAGCTAAATCATATATGAAAAGAGAAATTTCGGATTTTTTGGGGAATTGTTTTTGAAAATCTTAACAGATGTAATTTCAGTAAGTGATGTTTTTTTTGGTTGTTGCAGGGAAACTTCGATTTGGTGGGGAACAACTTCCCCGTCTTCTTCATTCGGGACGGAATGAAATTCCCAGACATGGTTCACGCATTAAAACCCAACCCAAAATCCCACATTCAAGAAAACTGGAGAATCCTCGATTTTTTCTCCCACCACCCCGAGAGCTTGCACATGTTCACATTCCTCTTCGACGATTTGGGCGTTCCGCAAGATTACAGGCACATGGAAGGCTCCGGAGTCAACACCTACACCCTAATCAACAAAGCCGGAAAAGTCAACTACGTCAAGTTCCATTGGAAGCCAACTTGTGGAGTCAAGTGTCTAATCGAAGAAGAAGCTATCAAAGTCGGAGGAGCCAATCACAGCCACGCAACTCAAGATCTGTACGACTCCATTGCAGCCGGCACTTACCCAGAGTGGAAACTGTTTATTCAGACAATCGATCCCGACCACGAAGACCGGTTTGACTTCGATCCACTTGATGTGACCAAGACTTGGCCAGAGGATATATTGCCTTTGCAGCCAGTCGGCCGTTTGGTGTTGAATAAGAATATAGACAACTTCTTTGCTGAGAACGAGCAGCTTGCGTTTTGCCCTGGTCTTGTTGTACCGGGAGTTCATTACTCTGATGATAAAATGCTGCAAACTCGGATATTTTCTTATTCCGATTCTCAGAGGCACCGCCTTGGGCCGAACTATCTGCAGCTACCAGCTAATGCTCCTAAATGCGCGCATCATAATAATCATCACGAAGGTTTTATGAACTTCATGCACAGAGATGAGGAGGTATTTATTCTAAGGCTACCCTTTTTTATATATTTTTTTCCGCTTAATTTTACTCCGATTTTTTTTTTTGATCAAATTCTGATTTTTTTTTTCAGGTGAACTATTTCCCGTCAAGGTATGATCCTTGTCGTCATGCGGAGAAGCACCCAATTCCTCCCGTAGTGTTGTCAGGGAAGCGTGACAGGGTATGTATTTATACTTTAATCCTTTTCCTAACGGCCATATTCTTTATCAAACGCCTCCAAATTATTACAGAAGTCTTAGTGACGATGAATCTATTCGTGGAATAAAGCGTTTTTATCGAACATGATCGATCATATGAAATTACATCTTTAATTTAATTTCGGTTGATGCAGTGCTGCATTGAAAAGGAGAACAACTTTAAGCAACCCGGTGAGAGATACCGAACCTTTTCACCAGACAGGTACAATCACTCGCTAACCATTTTAAAATGATAATTATTAGGACTTTTTTATTTCATTTTTTTTTAAATGACTATTATAAGATTTTAAAATTTCATTGTTTTATTATTTATGTCTCTTCTGCAGACAAGAAAGATTTATTCGCCGTTGGGTTGATGCTTTGTCCGATCCCCGACTCACCCACGAAATCCGTAGTATCTGGATTTCATACTGGTCTCAGGTATTGTTTTCCCTATGCCCTGCACTCTATTTAATATGTATAGGGAAAATTACACTTACCCTCCCTCATGTTAGTTTTAATTACAATTAGACCCCCTCAAGTTTGAAAAATTACACAAACCTCCCTTGAAGTTTCAATTTTTTTGTCTTTTTTTTTTCCGCGAAAGTGTGAACTTTTCCATTTTAGTTGGACTAACTGTCATTTTTAATCAAACTTGACGGGTCGAACTGTAATTACTCATAAACTCAAAGGGAGGCAGGTGTAATTTACCCTTTTAATAAGTACTCAGGCTATATAGTGTCGAATAAAGTTTTGTATTTAATTGTGTTTGGTGAATGCAACACAGGCTGACAAGTCACTCGGTCAGAAACTCGCTTCCCGTCTCAATGTGAGGCCTACTATGTGAGAGATGAGCAAGTTATCGAGTCACAGTGTACAAGGATGTCACAATAATTCTTGAAATTATAAGGTGAATTGTAGCCATTCGATTACTCTATCCTATTATGTAATAATGTATTGTAACTTTTTGTTGGTTTTCGTTAACCATTGAATCTTGATGATTCTTAATAAATGAAGATGTACTTTATACCGTTAAATTCATTTATTCGGGTTTAATTTCTTTTGTGGTATCGTATTATTCGTCAAATGTATGGTACATTTGACAAAGTATATATACATTGGATAAGTACGTATATATATATATATATATATATATATATATATATATATATAGAGAGAGAGAGAGAGAGAGAGAGACATTAGATAAGTAGGTATATACGTTACATTTATGCGTGGGTATATTCGAGTTTATGAAAGGTAACACTCGACAGTTGCTCGGTGTAGTATCTAAAAGATCCTATAATTTTGTATCCTCATTTTGGGATTGAAAATTGGATTCTTCATGAGGATAATGAATAAAGAAATGCTTTTTGTTGTGTAAAATTTTGTTTCACTACAATATTAAAAAGAGCTAATCTATTTGGTATTTCTTGCAATAAAAATTGGGAAGGCCAAAAAATAATAGGGGAAAAGAAAAGCACATAATAAAGAAGACAAAAATCACCATAAGAAAGAAGGAAAAGACACACGAGTATTTAGGGCTGGGCATGGGTCGGGTCGGGTATTTATTGGCCAATTACCTACCCGACCCGACCAATCGACTTTCCTGAATATTGAAAACTATTAACGGGCCGGCCATTATGGGTTGCGTAATTGTTGGCAAACGACTTCATCGGGTAAAAAAAGGTCGCTCAGTTGGTATTATTGGCCATTTAATTAGAGATCTCTTTTTTAATTGTTTTTACAATAATAAGATATTTTTAAAAGTTTTTAAAACAAATATTCAATATATTGGAAAACCTTATATTGCAA